TCCCTTATATTCTCCAGCACCCAGAATTGTTCTATCAGGAGTGTTAGAGGATAAAAGCTTACCTAATTCTTACAAAGTCCATATATAAACTTGTTGTCCTTGAATTTGTCTAATCCTCTTTGAATGTCCTGACACACAGAAATACAGGTAGAACAGGTTGAAAGTCTTCAAAGAACACTTGTAGAACCTTCTTGGATCCCACAGATGTTGTTTAGAGAACTCACATTCTGAGTTCTATAATCATGCTATGTTTCAGGAAATTCTCCTTATTAATATGTCACCCTTTGACCTGAGGGTTCAGTCCTCCAACCTCTGAGAATACAGATTAACCTAACTGACTTAAATTTTTTTTATCTGGAAATGGGATAATTCAGTGAAATTGACATTAATTCACACAAATGTATCTGCCAGAATTTTGCCTGAAGCATGGAGTAATGTGCAAAAATAACTAATATTTTTAATAAAACAAACTACTTTTTGTATGAAAGAGAATGTTTAAAATGTTTCCACATCTTTGTGTTTCCCATTAGTTCTCTTGGATTGTAGCAAAAATTATAAACTTCAGAGGCCAGAAGCTTTTAGGCTACTTTAACTCTGTGTGAGTCTCTATTCCACATGGAGTCCAGTGTCTCTCTGCTATTCCTGTGTTCGCTCATGGCATGTTAGAAAGTTTACGAGTCATTGACCAATACTTCTGTCCTGGCTTTATAAATGAGCATGGCCTTTTCTGCTCAATGTTTGTGTAAGTAGCTATTGTCAGAATGGCTAAAGAAGGTAGCAAATACCAATGCTGCAGTAACCAGAATATTCGCAGCTACACTGAACCAGCTTAGTGAGAAAGAGTTGCAAGTCTCATGAGTAAATAGCTAGAAAATATTTCTACAGAAAGATTCCTATGATCTGTTTTGGATTGTTTCTATGAAGAAGCATTTTCAAGGCCATAGTTCTTTCTAAACAGTAACTAATGCCCACATATTACAATAATATGTATTAGGGTTTTTTATTGGAACTTAGAGATCTGAACTGAAAATCTGATAAAGATATTTCTTTATTTTGGATATTCCTACATATTACATGACAATAGCAGCAGAGATTTAAATGAGTCATTACTTGTGAAAACACTACTACTGTTACTAATTACAGGAGAAATAGACTTTAAAATTTCACAAATTCCAAAATAAAATGGAAAATCAATATCTAGTATAAAACTTTTTTTTTTTAAATCTGAATTGATATCACTCTGGAACTTTGGCACAGATACATACTGCTGTTTTACTCTATAACTGTCAGTAAAAAACTTTTGAGATTATATAAATGTGTTAGCAAAAGAAGAGTTAATCCTTTAAGGACAAAAGTTTCATCTATTATTTTGTTTAAACTTCAGCTTGTATGTACCCAAAATTGGACTTAGGCTCACAAATACAATTCTTCATGTAAACAGTAGATTATATAAACAGTTCACTCTTTATTAGCCAAATTGACCATTTTATAGAAACAAGCCAAAGTATAAATACATGCACGTGTATTTTTGTGTCTGGATACACACATACACATGAAAGTGTTCCCAGGTTTGCTGTGGGAACCTTGTCCCTTAATGTACCCTAAATGTGCATTTGTAAGTTTGAAACCACGGAATTAATCTGGTTTTTTTATTTCTTTATTTTAATATGGTGTTTTATAGAATATCCACATAAGAAAAGAAGGAAACTGCTCTCACAGTGCTCCACAGTTTTCATGTCCTCAGCTTCTGAAACATTTAAGACTATTGACTTGCTGGCAGGCTCCCAAGGAATTTTAAGGCATCTGTGTCTGTGCTACTTATTTTAAGCTCTGTCTTCCAGTGTTACGAAATCTCAAACTCTTTTGAGAGCAAACTCTTTTGACTTTCTTAGTAATTCCATTTCATGTGGTTCTGGCTTTCAGGCAGATTCAAGAATGACATAATCGCCTTTTCCCACCCACAGGTTTTGCACTGCTGCTGTTGGTTACACCCTTCCACGTAATGTGCAACACGAATTCTTGTCTGATCCCATATGCCCAGAAATGGAAGACAGCCCAGCAAAGAGGACTAAAGCACAGTTTCTTGGCTTCCTATCAATCACCATAGGTTGAATAAGGCATCCGGATTTTTCCTCTCAGTTAGTACTACTTTAGCTACAGTGCAGCTCCTGTCAGTCCAAAGTCATGCTACTTCCAAAGGATGTGAACCAATTTCCCAATAAACTTTATCTCTGTTACTGAAGCTTAATGTATCTTAAATATAGTAGCAGAGAATAAACAAACTTAAAGTACTCCTTTTGTATTTTTTACTGTAGCATTTATGCAAATGCACTCAAAAAATACAGAATTCTTCATTTTCATTTAAAAAATGCTAGAACTTGGCTAGTATCCATTCCTAAGAGCTACTGCAATCATATTTTGTATTACTAACAATACTGGATTATGTACCAAGCTCCACAGCAGCAAGACAAAAAGCACTTTCTGGAGTTTGTTACCAACATGAGAGAACTAGAAGCAATCTGCAATCCTGTCTGACTATCCAATCTCACAAAGAGTCTCCTGGCCTACCTGAAGACTACAAGAGTGTTCATACATGAAATATGGCATGCTAACACAGCATAGGGAATATTTCTTTGCCCTTGGAAAGTCTCCAGAAATTTTGCTTTTTACAGTTACATTTTTCATGCTTGGTTATATTTTTAAGTAACACACAGCATTGTGACTACTCAGTTCTCTTGAATCCAGGACTACTAAAAGGCATTGGTTCAGGTCAGCTTCAGGGCAATTTCATAGGCAATTATACTGCTGCTTTAAGAGCTGGCAATGAACTGCCAGGCAAATAAAAAAGCAAGTATCATGCTCAAGGAAACACTAGTCCATGTCCAGAAGAAATTGAGAAGAATGCATTGAGTTATGACCATAAAAATGATCCAGCCTGGAAGATAATAGATTTCCTTGTCTTCTTCAGCAATGAGCCAATTCTGGAAAAAAATTACAATTGGGCAAAGACTTGGCATCCAGATGTGCAGTCTAAAGGCAGAAGATGGAGTTGTCATGAGACCTTGTCATAATCAGCTACATTCACAACTCTCCTGGGCCCTCTCCTAAGCTCAGTGCAGCTGAGAGTCGTGCCTTTCTCTCACTCCTGGCAGTGAGGGATAATAAATTTGTTTGCTAGAACAGGTATCTAGCAAGAAGAAACATGTAAGATAGGCTAGAAAATGACACAAAATGATTGTGATGGCCATCACAGAGTGAAATCCACTGCAACAGGAATTCCATGTGAAATGTATCCGGATGATTATTTCTTTCTCTAGACTCTGTTCACAGTGCAAGACAAAGTAATATTTTTGTTTCTGTGATGAAAATTATCTGGCTAATAAGTTACAACACTTTAAAGAAAGGGATAAATTGAAAATCCTGTAAAATTCTACCTTGGTATTAAAAAGTCCAAGGCACTCTAAACCACACCCTCGAGGCAATAGTTAAGTTCCAGGAAGTTTTAACAAATTGATCTGTCCTTTGCTGAGAAAATAAAATAAAAGATTATTTAGCTGACTAAGGTCTTAAAATTTTACTAAGTCTTTTTAACTCTGCCTATAATGAGATCTATTTCTTCTAGTAATGCATTTATTGTTAATGGCTTTTCTGATACTAAGAAAGAAAACTGATTTTAGCTGCAGTGGAATTGTAGTTATTTAAAACATTAAATTCACCCATCTACATTAACAGTGACATAAGACATTTTAGTTTGTCATTAATAACATTACACAAGCACTTTCAAAATTCTTTCACACCCTATATATTTTTATGACACATAAAGACAAGAGTAGCTATGAAAGTATCCAACTTCTACCGTTAACTTATAGCAAAAAGATGGTATTTCTCTAGAAAGATGGTAAGAGTTTTTTCTAAATAGTCAGGTAGAAGGTGGATGTGATGATAGGCTGATATTTACTTTCTGGAGAATTTCAAGGGTAAAAATCTGAAGTGCTTATCCAGCCTTCCCTAACAACCACACTTATGGGAACACTTTGGGCAAGTTCTCAGTTACAATCATCACCCCACAGTGGTCAATCTTAATGGATACCTAAGCTTGAATTGCTGGCTAGAGCTGAACACACAGAATAAACATTTCCTCTGCTGGGTTTAACAACAGTCTTGGTAAGAGGTCTGCTTTTTGATAATATCCTCAAAAGATACTGTCAAGAATTTTGCAAAAACAAAACATATACTTATTTAGCAGCATATTCACACAAAGATAAAGCTCTTTTTTTTAATACACAGTTAATCATTAAACAGAAAATATCAGATCATCCACCCCCACATCAGAACAAATTGCATTGAAAAAAATACATTGCAATGAGTGACTCATGATGAATTGTACTCCATACTGAACATGATGAATTGAACTCCATACAAAACTGTATTTGTCAAAATAATTATTATTGCTAAAGCTATGTTCTCCTCACTCTGTCTTTAAAATTCCCTCATGTCCAGTGCAAACACTCCTGCAACTAAAAGAGTTTAATTTAGTTCTCATATTTCAAAAGATCAAAATAAAATAAAGTAAAAGACGCCAATCAAAATAAAATAAAGCAAAATATGCCCTCGCAAATGTTGGCATTTTAGAATACCTAACAGAAGAACAAACTCCTGTACTATATATATTTCAGCTAGTGTCACCAATGTATCAAGTGCTTACACATCTCCTTTCCCATTTAAACTAGCAATAAAATCTACTGACTTCAGTGAGGGAAGTAAGAGCAATCCAGCCTAATGTACTGAAAATCCTTTCACTACTTTCCAAACATTTCAATAGAAAGAATGTTCATGCTACCTACATATTACTGCATATTATCATTTTGTTATTTTTCATTTCACTGGTGACACAGAAGAGACTACACTGTGTTGAGCTGCAGCTGACACTTAAATGTTGCTTTTAAACCATGTAAGATTTCTCATTTAAAAGTAAACTTGAAAGTTTGAGAAAAAAATAATACTATGAATTAAATCAATTTTATTGTCAGTTTCTGCCCCATAAAACATTTTTAAAGACTTTCTTTCAGATGGAAACAAGACTATTTCATTCATTCATGGGCAATACTTTGGCTCCATGTGCATTTATATAAGTAAGAAGAATTTTGGACCTCCTTTCTATTACATCAATAAGCTTTTCAATTCCTTTTCTGCCTCCTTGGCTCTCCCAGTATATTTTGTCAAGGAACAAAGACTGGAGCAACTTCTCACGTAAACGCTGGCTCCTCAGCACTGAAACTGCAGATGCGGGGAATCTGGAAAAGCACAAAGAAATTCATCAGTTTTTGCCATTACTCTAAATTGCAGTACTTATGTTGTGGTTTAGCAATCAATTCTAAGAATATAGGCTGCAACTCAGCAAAGAAAATCCATGCATGCCTAATCATATGTATGTTAATTGTATCTTTTACAGCTGTGGAATAAATCACACATTTTTAGATACATCCTTTCAGTGTCCTGGGCCAATGATATCTATTCCAGTAGCATAGTGTCTCATATTCAAACTGGGAAAAAATTATTAATCCTCTTACAAAATTAATAATTTAAAACTTACTCATTGATTCCTTGTAGTATTTTGAAGTCAAGATTGTCCTCATTTCTGTCAAAGAAACCCTTATTGTCTATAAAGACCAAGTGCCTTTGGTCATGCCTTCTCTGAACAATGTGTGTCAGGTCAACAGCATCCTGATCATTGCATTTCAGCTTCAGTCCTTGTTGCATGCAGGAATCCTCCTTGAGAGGTTTGAATCCACAACAATTTCTGTCTAGTCGATTATAGATCTAAAACAAAGTACAGCAGAGTGCCAAGTGAAAACAATACCAAAGTACTTGGGGCAAAGTGTCACTGCAAGACATTGCTCTCTAACCCAGCTAGCAGGAAAGTATATACCCTGTGGTATATACTTCCTTTCTAACAGGAAAGCAAGCTCAGGAAAAGTGTAATTAACAGTGAAACAGCATTGAAGACCTAGTCCTCATACTAGGTACTAGGTACTAGGTACCTCATACTAGGTACTGCTGAAAGCAATTTCTCAGACTGTGTATTTTTATCCATTTTATAGCCATGATCTATTATGTCAGTAGAAATTTTTTTAAAATAATGGAACAATACCACTGTGTAACTGGAATAACAAGATGGTGAATACAATTCTATTTTCTTTGTCAGAAGCTTTCTTTTTTTTTTTTACATTTTCTCTGCTGGAGAACAATAGAAATAGCACAGTCTGACACACATAGAGGATCTTCATTTTGTGGGATCTATTAGGCTAACAGTATGCAAAATAACTGAAAAGACCAGTGAGGGGCACAAAAAACCATCAAAAGCTATAAAATTGTTCTTACACTGTAAGAACAGTGTATTTATAACCACAGAGAAGCCTCCCTGTGGTATACACTTTTATGACATGATGGTCTACACTATTTTTTCCCATGCAAAACCTCGATTACTCATCACACAGCACTTAGCTGGAAAGAATACATAAATCTGAACTAATTTTGGTGGTGTAAATGTAAGGCATCACTTTTGACTTGGTTGTTTCTGTTCCCTTTCATAAACAGTGACAAGAACAAGGCACATCCAGAGCAACAGATGCCATTTTAGGATAACTATCTAATACAGGAAGGATAAATCACTCCTTGAAAGTGCTACTACCCCTTGAGAGTAGACGAGAGTAAATATTCAACATTGCTACAGCCCTGATCAAACAAATTAGCCTGGACTGCCCTTAAAAGTCTCACCTTGGACTTCCTCAAATATCTTCACCTTGGACTTTGCCCCTGGGCACAGGAGCCCCCTTTAAGCTCAGGCAGCTCAGCACTCCTCTGAGTCCTTTAGAGGGGGAGAGTGTGGTGGGGTGTTTTGCTCTGCTTGTTCCTGGGTTGCTGGTTGAGGTTCCAGCCTGTCAGTCTTGGAGCTGTGTCATCTATGCCTCACAGGGCTACAAATGGGGCCTGTGGCTTTCACCATCCTGCTGGCCTGCCTCTCCTGCTGCTGACCCTGCCTGTCCTAGAGCCGCCTTTGGCTCCAGCTCATCTTCCCAGAGAGCAGACCTGCTCCTGCTAACAGGTGTTTAGAGAACATAGGTCAGGTCTGGTGCATATAAGACTTGTTAAGTAGCTCATCAAAGGTCAATCATTTTTTCTGTCCTTTGTTGTTTACTGTTAACTCTTCAAATTGCTCAAAGCATAAAAACATTACTGTTCACATAAGCCTCCTAAAATTTTATTTTTGTAACTTCCCAGCAAAATTAGGACCCCACCTGATGCAGAACTTTGTTGCATGTTGAAATAAAAAGGTCACCTCTTTAATCAAATGAAAGTCTGAGAATTGGGTTTGTTTTGATTTTGTTTGGGGTTTTTTTATACGTAGTTAGTTTTTTATATGTAGTTTTATTTCTAGTCGTATTGCTGACAGTGTTTGTTTTCAAATACCAAAATCTTAATGAAAGGAACAGACTTGTCTTCCTCTTTCTCCTTTCATGAACAGCATTCATTATCTGAAGGCTGTAGAGGCCCTCTTGCTTCCAGTGCTCCCTCCTGGGATCCCTTATTCAGTCCATCCAATGGTTAAAAAGTAAAGCAGAGCACTGACCCCATTCCTTTGCACTTCTCTGCATGCATTAAATAGACAAGGAAATCTTGTTCTTACAGACAGCCTCTTCACAATATCTTGCACCATTTCAGTGCTAAGACATAATGATGGAACACTCTGGAATTGATGCATATAGTTTTGCAGAATTTTCTCTCATACATTTATGAACACAAGATGTCCAAACTTCCAAAGTTTTCTGGAGTTCTTGCAGGAGGCAAGTAGTGGTCTTCTACTTGCATTAAGCATTTTATATTCTGCTCGTATGTTTTACAAGTAACATTTGAAACCAGAGATTAGGAAGATATATTAGAGGTGCCAAACCTATTCTTCTGAGGGAATTATGCTTAACAGAGAATACTTTTCACCATTGTTCTTTATTTCTGAATGACTCATGAAGCACAGCTATTGGTGGGTTTTTTTTAATACCAAACCCTTTCTTGACATTTTTTTTGTTTTCACATTTTCATATTCTGCAGCTGATAAACTTTGAGAGCACACAGATAAAATTTTATTCTTTAAGAACTATGAGAGTCACTTTCACTCACTTTCTGGGATGCATGTTCTTGTCTGGTAGGCAACCAGAGATATAAATCACTCTGACACCAGCTATTAGTGCAAGAGTAATTTGTCTCCTGTCATGTGAAGTGCAATCCCATTGTATCTTATTTTAACCAACCCCTCCTTCTGAATAATAGAACAGCAGATTTATCATTCATCAGTCACTGCTCTACTCCTTCTTTACTAAGTCACTGTCTAGGGATTTTTTTTAAAAAAGGAAAAATTATCCACTACAACTGTTACCTTGCTCCTCCTACCTTGCTGCAGACTGCAGCTCACCAAAACCACTTCAGTCACCTCTTGGGGCTGGGGAGGTGCAGGAGGGACCACAGAGTAAACAGAGATTTACAGTTGTGAACACAGTCAAGATCTCTGTTTGGAGAAACAAGGAGTGAAGCAGAAATAGTACGCCTGACTCAATATTAGATAAATCAAGGCAGAAGGCTTTGCTTCCTCTTTAAAAAGAAATGAGTCAGTTAGGTTTCCTGCCTAATTGTAAGCTGCATTTTGGATATTTTAATCATAAGAAATGACCAGAAATAATTCCAAACTACGCAAATACCTCTCTTTCTCATTAAAAAAAAATTAAACACACTAAAATTACTATTTCTCAAAATCCTATGTTTGATCACATGACTTATGAGGCAAATAGTTGTTCAGTAAACATTTTACCTGCAACAGAAAATCAAAGAGTGCCATCTTGGACCATTCATGATGATGAATTTCAGTACAGCCCCACTCAGCTTTGGGAACTTTACCATTCTGCCAGCATTTCTTCTTCAATAGCTGCTGATATTGTCCCCATGTTAACCTCACTGAAGAATGGGTACTATTATCTGTTGGACTCAGTGAGGAATCCCAGAGAATAACAGGACAGGCCTGACCACCTGAAAAAAGGGAAAAAATTACCATTATTGTAGTGCAATACTATCAGTTTTATTTGATTCTTCTTTAGACATTGCCTAAGCATTAGTAAATGTACCATTTTACAGATCTGGAAGGAGAACCAGCCAGGGACTAATATCTTGACATTCTTTGGTTAATGTGGTCTTGTCCTACATCCATAACCAGCCACCACAGGACTGGAAACATAGGCATAAATGCCTTCAATGTATGGAAGAGTTTCTTTGTTTGAAGCAAGAGATTAATGTACAAAATCATATACTAAACCAAACTATTAAAAAGATTTTAGGTAGGTTAAAAGCCTATAATGCCACTGTGAATCAACAATGCAATTTCCTTCTGATGCCAGTGAACTACTGATTTTCAAGAGCTGGAAACTTATGTCAAAGGGGGTTTTCTTTGCATAATAGACACAGAGACACCACAAATCCTATACTCAAAGTGGATTTATTTTGTTATTTTTAGTATTTTAAACCTATTACTCTACAGCTCTGAAAGGATATATGAGAATACTAGAGAATGTGAGTATAGCATGAATAAACAACTTGACACGTTTGGGGCTTTTTACCTAGATATGAGATCTGTTTTGTATAGCAGATATTTCAGCCAAATTCTTTAGTTCTTCTGTGTAAAGAATATTTTTTTCTTCCCTGAAACTAACACAGAGGACTTCTCTTTGGTGAATTCTATTGTTCAGCTTCACTATGAGAATAAACCTTGTCAAAGAATTTTAAATGAGCTTTTCCAGTGTAAGAACTGATAAATGCATTTCGCACAGCATCAAGGAACAGACAGATCTATCTTATTACAAAACTCTCCTTTTATTGCTGATGCAATGCTACTGCTGCTTAAACTGCTAAGGTCCCATGACTGACCGTGGCTTGTGCACTTTGAAACAAAGAAATCCTTTATATTTTAGGGTATGTAGACAGAGGATCAAAATATGTCTTAGAGGAAGGACCATCTAACTGCAAAGCTTAAGTGCTGTTTATTAAAAAGTGTTGGAACACATATCAAGCTTTAAAATTTATTCATATCCATCTTGAAGTTCATTGAACTTAGTCTACACTATTGCACAATTTATTGCATAGTTAAGTGCAACCCAAATTGTCTCTTTGTCTTCCACATGCCCAGGGAGACAGAGACAGATCTGCAAAAAAGCTTTTAGAAACACAAGAAGGCAAGAGGTCCAGGCCACCTTCTTCAGAAGCAAACCAGACAGAAAATAGCCCATGGAAAAGAGGTATCATTGCCAACAGCGAGGTAAAAGCTGCCAATGTCAATGCTACATTTGTAAGCAGCCAGGACTGTGAAAAACAATCTCCACACAGCTGAATCCAAAAGCAACTTGTTCAAAGGATGCTGACTGTTGTAAAACAACAGGTAAGAAATGATCTTTGCCTGTACCTAGCACTGAGACATGTGAAAAGTTCCATCTCCCATTCACCAAACAAGCATGACATACTGGCCCCGCATGTAATCCAGCCCAAGAGAAAAGCCAGCTCCTTTCCAAACCAGAATGTACCTGATCTTCTCTCTGCCATGCCTGGCACATACAAGGTAGTCCTTCCAAAGCCAAGCCAATAACCCACCACCTCTTTAACTTCCCTCCCAGTTGCCCAGTGTTTCCTTAGAAACACAGAACGTGTATTTTCATTAGGAACATCAATCAGTCTTTCTTTATGATCAGTACTACCTTTATCAGGACCATGTTCCACACTCTCCTCCACTGAAAAAAGGAGCTGAGCACTCCTGAAAGCCAGGCTTCTCCTCTACTGAGGTGCCCGAATAAGTATTTAGGTAACTTATTTGGGAAATTCTACCCATTTCTCCATCTCTCTGACTCTGGCTCAATCACATGCACTGTAGATGACTTTACCCAAGTTAGATCAGCTATGGGCTAGGTTTCTTTTCCAAGTGGGAGAAAAAAGCTTTTCTCAGGACCAAATCTGATCTATTATTTTTATATCTCCAGTAACAACTTATGTAACTATTCATGAATTCTTCCACAAATCAAATACATAAACAGTTTTTTAAGAAAACAAACATCTCCTGTCCACCCAAAAAGGACATGATAAACAATAGTAATATAAATACTTGAAAACCCTGAATAACATCATGCCAGTTTCCATTAAGATAGAAAAACATTTTTAAAAGACTAAGGTTAAATACAGGAAATGTTTGCATTTCAAAGGAAATGGGAGCAGAAAAGATGATCCAAAAAAAAAAAATCTTTCAACTCTGTAATATAAATTGGATTACAGGAATATGAAACAGCAGCTTCAGTAAAGAGCTGTGACTCAAATTTTTGACACTTGCAGGAAAAACATGAAGATGCTGAATTAAAGCAGATAAGGGGTCTGATTCAAAGTTGCATGAATTGGCATGACCCCAATCAAATCAGTGGAGCTTTTCTGATACAAACCTCATTAGGATTGGGCTGAAGTTACCTCAACAGTGAAAAGAACTACAGCCACAACCAGGAAGGTGAAGCACATTTCAGAAAAAGTCCAGTGTATTCTGTAAGTGCTTCTCTCCTAGTCAGCTTTACATATTAACACAGAGGGGTACTGCTTTTCCATTGCTGCAGCTGCACTACACTGAATCTCACTGAGAGCTGATTGGGTTAATTTTATTTTTTATCTGCCATTTTAGATCTATATGCCTATTGAACTGTCCAAAGGCAACCTTCAAAATGGTATGGGAAAGATATTTCAAAACTCATGCTGAAACTATCTTCCTAGTAATTCATACACATTTTTGAACATCTAAACATTTCTAAAAATGTCTTAGCTAAGTTGAATAAGCTAACACAGATAAAACCTCAGGCTGCTGAGACTAGACCACCTCAAGGTACTCAAACTGCTTCATGTGCCGCTCGGTCATGTATCACTGCATGGCTTCTTCAACACAGGCATCATCTTAGATTTCCACACCCCACATCACTTTGAAAATAAACTGCATGCTTCTGAACTTCATGTGGTTAGGAACCACAGTTTGCTCTTGCAAACATTTCTCTCCTCTTGTGCTCTGACTTATAGCTACAGCACTTTTCCCAATTTCCTCAAAAGAAAATATTTTCAAACATGCCCAGAAAATCAACATTAAAACCAGAAAATCTTTCATGAGGCAGTTAAAGCTCTTTATCAAACTCACCATTGTTCACTATAAGGCAGTACATCTCACCACTGCCACATTTGTAAGAGTTCAGTCGTCCATACATTAGCAAGAAAGGATAATTTAGTGTGGAAAATGAGAGGTTCCAGCATACAGAGCACAATTTTGAGAGTTTAAGTTTTTAGGGAAAATACAAGGAACAAAAGTAGAAAGCAGAGAGAAGTTAAACCATTTATTTTTCTTTCTTCCCTATGCACCTCATTGCAATGTTCTATCCTGTGCTCATATGGATGTCAGTATTAAGGAATGCATGAAATGTGCATTAGTTGCTCTCTAGACCATGGACTGCATTATTGCTTGTACATGAACTTCTCTACCAAACAGAATACTGGACATATGCCTCTTGTACCCCTTTGAGAAGTACAGCACTATGTGGAAGTATTTTAGAGCACTCTGAACGCATATGGCAATGGTAGGTTTTTATTCTTTGTCCTGACATTGGTGATTCATATTGCATAATTTTTGATGGGATGGCAAGAGCAGGCTGATAGCACAGGGTATAACACAGAAAAAACTAGGACACCTTTTAAAGTCATGCAGAGGCCAGTAAACCAAAATAAGAAGTGCAACCAGTGGAGCTATCATGTAATTCATCTATTTGCACTAAAACAACTATGAAAGGTGTTACTCAAAGGAAGAGTTTCTTGCATGTTTGGGGAAAAAAAGGAGGTTCTGGACAAATACCGGATTGAGTACACTAGTGCTTATTATTCTCAGTTTAGTCAGACTCAGGATATGAGAAAACAGAGGGGAAGAGAAGCAGGCATCAGCACACAGTAGTTGTAGTTCAGTCCCTCAGCAAGAGGTGCAACAAGACTGCACAGCAGCAGCTACTGCACCAAAAGCTGAACAAAGAGCCCAGCCTCACTGCTACTATCCAAGGAGCCAGAGCACCACCCTTACAGCTGTCAGCTGAGACAGAGAAGCCAGCCTGCCCTAGCCCACAAACTCCAGCTGTAGCTCAAGCCTAAAAAATACTGCCACTGTCCCAGGCCACAAATGCAGTTGCTGAGCTGGAGGCTCAAATAATGAAGTACCTTAATGCTGTAGAATTAATGTGATCATCCCAAAACTCAGCACATAAGCGTCAGCCTTCATTTATTCCACAATAGACAGAATTTTATGATTATTTCTTGGTGTTTAACAGGACTGTCCTTTTTTTATAGGTGTTTGGAGACATTTCTCACATCTTGTAGGTAGCAATGAAGTAATGAATGACTGCTTGTGTATGCACAAAATCATGCTCTTTTAGACTTTTATGCCCAGCTCAAAAGGGCTTTTCCTACCTATACTACTCAGGCTTTTCATATTCAGTCAATTAATTGTAAAAGTATGAGAAAAAGAGTTACCATACCTGATTTTTCCATCCAGGATGGATGATGGAAAAACTAGACAAGCCACAAAAAAATTCAGTTAACACTTAAAGGGTTTACAATTAACAAGGGAAGGTGAGGGCAGCAGACAGGGAACTTGAATACAATATTTTGCTAGACTTTAAAAAAATCAGTGTCACGTCTGTGGGAATAAGGGAAATAGAACCTGTACAGGGATTTACTAAGCAGTTCTTTGAAACTGCCTTTGACAAAATGAATGACAGTTTAGAAAAGCCCATTTTTTAAAATTTTTATGCTACATCAAACATGTCTTGTTGGATCACATCACAACTGAGGCAAGCTAAAGGGATGTGTCGGGGAGAGAGATATGTCAGCGCAGAAATAGTGTACATTCATACACACATGCACAGTCTCTAATCCTGCATTGCTTGCTTTCCCATGTGAATAACTGCTTCACACAAGCCACTCTGTAAAAAACTTTACAGAACTCACCTATCTTGACATATATAGGTCATTTCAATGAACTAATCACTCATATTATTTTTAAGAATTATATTTTTGCTCATTTTGCTACCACAAATATTTTCACATTATGCCAGACACAAGCACATAAATAGTAAAGAGCTCAAGTAGTTACAAGGCATCTGAGTTCCAGAATATTTCCAGGCTAAAAAAATCATGAGAGACAAGGTGCAGTCACTGTTCCAAATGCTCTGTTCAGCCTTTAGCTGGAAAAAATGAAGTGAGACCAAAATAGTGTTATTTCTCTTCTCATCACCTAGCAACACTCCTCTTGCAATAGGAACTTAGCCAGTTATGAGGAAAAGAAAATTAGAGGGCAGAATGACACACTCTGTCCCAGACAGTCCAAAACATACTGTAAGGTGACAGACACTGAGCAGCACAATGCACAATTAGCCTAATAGCAGTTTTCTGAGGTTTGCAGTCTGTCATCTCTGCAGCCACACTGTGCAGAGTTCCCCCATCCGAACTGCCTTAATGCCTTATGACAGCTCCATACCAATAGATCTTGTTCCTAAAAATAAAATAGGCATAATGTATCTTCCATGCTCTGCAAGTATGAATAATATTCAGAAGCCTCCAAACTGTTGTTCCTAGAGATTCATTCCCATTGTTGTACAGGCTGCCAAAGGGAAGGTTTACAAAGCAGGAAGACACTGGAAATCACGAGGTTGTCTTCCTGCTGTCAGACTTTAAAAATTTTTTCTAGCATTACTTTTCTTTTTAAGAAATGCAGACTGATATAAAACTATTTGGTATGAGCTGATTTCAAAGCAAGAAATGAACAACAAAAACATAGCTAGCTACTTTTGCAATGATTCACTAAAATGCAACATAGTCCTTTTGGATTTGTGACTGTACAAAAATAGAACTTATGCTGAAGACGTAGTTAAGAAGGTAGCAATTTTAAAGCAGACTTCCAGCTCACATTACATGTCTGAATTCTACCTTTAATTTCACTAAAGGTTAAAAATCAACTTTTTAATTGAAAACTCTATACTAATCATGTAACAGGCATATTGAGATATTTACTATGTGTGTTTCTTTAGATAATATATAGGTATGTGTACTGAACCTCAAAATGTACAGCAGAATTCACTGAAATATAGTTTGTTTGGGTTTTAACTTGAACAGAAGAAAGGGAAGTACTTTTTAAAAATTTTCAGTTCTCAAGAGGATTAGTGCCATGAAAGAAGATTCAAGCTTCTGCAGGCAAGTTCCCTACCTCTCTGAGTAGATTATCTGACCCGATTCCTACCACCTGAAGATGAATTTTTGTGACAAGTTCCAACAGTATTTTATTAAAGTAGATTCTAAAAGATGATAAGTGTATTTTAAAAAACAAGAAATACTCATTGAATCACAAAGATTCTGGAATTTCTCACCAGTTTCACTTCAGGCAGTCTGTACAATGTCATGCAATCGATGGATTGCTCTTTCTCTTTTTTCTTGTTCCAGACTCATGTTAGGAAACTCTTACCACCCTCAGCAACTCTACGATATTTGAAGCAAACTTTGGGGTATTCATCCTCTGGACAGAATAACTGCACTGCAGAAGTTACACACAGACACTGACTTTATTTCCCTGGAGCAATGGGGTTAGTTCTCGGGCTCACAGGAGTTAAAGGGGGGGGCTGCTGCCGCCCCATGGCTAACGCCAAGTGGGAAGGAAACCTCTGCACCCCACCTGCAAACACTGAAAACCACATGGATGTGTTACCTTGGAAGAACTCTGATCTCCTGCTTACAGAAGGTAAGCTCCTGTTTAGCCCCAAGATCCTGTCCAAATGAAAGGCAAACACCTCACTCATGTCAAGAGGTCTTTTGACAATTCCACAGTGTCCCTGATTACAAGCAGTTCCCGTAGTGCTGGGACCTCTTGCAAATACTGCCAGGACTGCTTTGTGTGAAGGAACTTCTTGAATGCTCCCTATGGGAGAGTCTGCCAGCATGCGCATGTTTAGGATGTCATCTTTGCTCATCCATGAGGGAGGGCTCTCGCTATAAATCCTGATATTGCTTTCCTCAGGCTGGAGCTGTGCCTTTACAGCTCCAGAAATCCTCCCAGGTCCCTGGTGACCTCTGTCCCTGATAGCCATTCCTTTATGCCCGTGTTCATCCAGTTGGTACTTTCTTGCCTCCAGAGAGATTGCTGCTCCCTTTGTGCCTGCGGCACGTGTGGCCCGTCCTGGCTGTTGGGCAAAGGCCTCTTCCCAGCCCATAAAAGTGGCTTTTGGAAAGTGCTGCCCATAGGACAAAGGGATTGCATTTTTCTTCCTGCGCTTTGGCTTCACTGTGCCTCTGATGTTGGCAGGCTTGCTGCGCTTGGACCGCAGGGTGATATAAACTACATTGGGTGGCAGCAAGGTCCCATTGCTACCAAGCTGGGGTTCCTGGAAATTGGGTGGTGACAGGGTGCCATCCAGTGGGATGCCCAGAAAAGGAGTTTGAGCTGCATCTTGGAGACTCCTGGAACTGATCTTTCCATGTCCTCCTTTGTGCTGCGGTAAAACATGACCCACTTGGCTGACAAGGAATCCCAGGTAGATCACACAGGCAGTGCCCACTAGCAGATTCCTCCTTGTCCTCGGGCGCCTGCAAGTCCAGAGCCTCAGCAGCCGTGAGGGCCACAGGCAGCAAATAAACAAGTTTTTGATTTTACTTGGCTGATCAAAAGGGGTCATTTCTCTAGTGAATCCACATGATGAAAACAGCATAAAGTCTTCTGTACATTCCAGCCAGGATGATGATGCATTATTTCTCTTCCCCAATTTCTATTTCTCCTTTTCCAAGTAGCTTCCAGCATGGGTGATGGACAGAGGCTACTGATATGTCTGGGAAAGTGGTCTGCACTAAGGATGCTGACACTCCACCTTCTCAAACTGTTAAATTCTTATCAGCCACCACAGAGGAAGTGATTGGCTTCAGAGAATGAATGGAGCCAGCTGCGTAAGCAAAGTTTACTGACTTGTAGTGTAAAAGATCTATGTATCTTCTCTGCAAACTGCAAAAGAAAATAGTAGCATTTCCTTTCATTACTCACACATAGCATCTGTGGTTCTATATCTTTCAGAGAAACGAAGTTCTAGATGAGACAGTATGCATGTAGGAATTTGTCAGGATAAATCTTTTACTTTCTCATTACAGTATAAATCAAACACCAAAACCATTAAATAAGGGTTCAATTTTCAATGTGAGCTGGACGTATTCCAGCATTAGAAGAAATGCTTGTCAAATCCAGATTATTATCTTTTTTTACAAGACAAAGTCTTCACTAAACCTCATGTTACAGAAATGCTGTAAATGATCCAAATATGAACCAGTGACTAGTAGTTAAATTTGCACATATTCACTAATATAAAAATATATTAGCAGTGCCAAATTTCCCTAGTTGAATATTAATATAGTTCCCATAATTCATAAACATACATTAAAATTGAAAGATGGTTAATCCTCTTCACTCTTGTGAAGCCATAAAAAGAATCTAGCTATAGTTTTTTTTAAATAAAATTACAGTGGCTTATAGATCATTTCCAAGAAACAAAGAATAAGTGCACATTGTATATAGATTGCTATAAAAATAAAATTTCTTACCTATTCAGCTTGACACATCCTTTGTTCTGGTAAACTCCTTAGGTTAATAAAAGAAACTGAGTAAAAGCTGGCATCTAGAACATATTTTACTTTCAAGTATGGTTCACATTTAGGTATTTCATTGCAAGCTAAGAACTGTTCAGAAGCTAACTTTACTGAGAGGTAGTTGCATATGAACTGCTATAAACTTACATGAACCTCATGTCATTAAAAAAAAACCCAAACCAAACAATCCCACACACAAAACCACAGCAACTTCTATTTTAAATTCTGTAATGAAAAGTCCTGTGAAGTACGTGCCTTTCAAAAATGCATTCCATCTATTTCTAACTCCTGAGAGCCCTCTAGTGCACTGCATGCAAATGTACTAAAAATTCTCTTTACTGCATTTAGTTTTTTGGGGGTTTTTTGAGTTTGAAAAACCGCCCACTTCCTGGATTTTAGAACTTTTGAGAATCATATATTGTTGTGATGAGAAGTGAAAAAGCACTTTTAAAATGTTATTAATCTGCTGCTAAACAGCTCAGAAGTGTCTCCTATTCGTGCTTTCTGGAGTGAGGCATAGCATAGTCCCTGTACAACTGGAAAAGTTGGGGCAGACAGAAGTTAAGGGCAAACCTCTGACATCTGACTCCTTTTGCAGTCTAAAATAAAAAAATAAATAAAATAAAATGTATATGTTCACTGTAATTCAAGGAATGGAGATATTCTATTCTCCATAGCTACTACTAAAGGAGAATAGACAGTTAAGAAGTTTGTTTATGTTTCCTATTGGTCCAATATGAATTTATAAAACTTTGTGAGTGTATTTTTTTCCACAAGCCATCACTTATCCTTACTTTTTGTCTAAATATGTACTGTCAAGTTAAAACTTCAGTATCTGTGCCCATTAGCAGTAAAACAGCCTTCCTGTCACCTGGATTTTTTCCAAATCTGAGTGTTTGGAGGAATTGGGATTGTAAGAAATCTCTTCATCCATTTCAGTTCTTCTCTCTTTCTTTTCTTCAAATTTGACTGGTGGGACATATCTCAAACAAAGAGAATTTATTCCAAAAGCTCCAGGCAAGTTACTTGAGTTGGAAATGCATCACACTGCAACCGTTGTTGTTTCAAACACCCAGTTCCTGCATGTACACAGCACCTGTCTATTAGAACCAAGCAACACCAAAGCACTGTACATTCCAGTTACTGACAGTGCTCCTCTGCTATAACAATTCTCTGAAATTCTCTGTAATTTAAGTAATCTTTTTACAGCTACTCTTTAAATATTATCTGGAGGAAATTACAAAAGGATATGGAGAGTCATTCTTCACTTCTCATTTCATTTTGTAGCCTTGAAGTCATAATGTGGTATACATACTGATGTACAGGGTTGACTGCTGGGTTTTTTGAGGCTTTCTAAATGTAATAATAGCAATTGTATTTCCTTTATTTCTTATGTTCAGAAGAGAGAACTCAGGTACTGGTCCGTTCTTTGGAATGGATGGTGGTAGAAAATCAACTAGATAGAATACAGTATCTTGTTAGTTTAACAGATGTTTGCCTCTAATTTTGGATTCTTAAAAGGCAAAATATCAAGTGATATTTTTTTTTTGTTTGTTTCAGCCCCTGTGGTGTACAGCTCCAGTGCCCTAGCAGATACCATAAAATAAGGAAAGCTGAAATGAGTATGGAGTTGTCTGGGAAAAAACCATTTCATTGTGTTTCACAAGAAACACAGAAAATGGGTTTTGTTCAGGTGGTAATATTCTCTCTGGAATCATTCTAACCCAAAGCTACAGCAAAGCACTAAATGGTAATACTAAGCTATATGAGGAAACAGTATTTTCTCAGTGGTAATAAAATATTTAAGACAAACTTTCAGAACAGCAGTTGTTGTCTGACCAAATTCTGGCCTACATTATTTCAGTTTGCTACCTAGAGCTAGCCTGTAATATCTGTCAGATTTTGTATTTGTTCCTTGCTCTAAATTATAACTGTGATATTGCCATCTGCATTCATTAAATTCAGCTTTTCATGTAATTTCTTCACATACCCATATTTCATGGACAGTGTTGTATCTTCCTAAGGTTAGGAATACAAGCATATAAAAACTAATATAGGAAAATAGCAATGAATGGAAGAGGAGAATTAAAGAAGTATTTTCTAGTCCCTCACAGACCTAGGTATATTTTTCAAATGTGAATGAATAGCTTTAGGATTAACTATTTGCAATTATTTTCTTCCTTTTTTTTCTTTTTTTTTTTTTTGTTTTGTTTTGTTTTGTTTTGTTTAACTTTGAAATCCACCTCCACCTGTTTTTGAAGAGGTTTTCTGCTGGTGCTGGACAAGCTGCACAATCTGAAGCAGCTGGTGGCCTGCACTGCTCCTAGCAGGAGGTCTCTGGCCAATTTGCAGACACAGGTGGAGTGTGCCAATGCCCACCAGTCACAAGGTCCTGCATCTTGACTTCTCTTTATCTCTGGGCACCTGAAAGGATGTGGCTACAGAATAGGCTCCTTAATGTGTGTGCTCTTGCTTTCTATGTGCAGGCACTTCAATGGAAAAGGTTAACATTTTTCCCATCACTTTTTTTCTGAATAAAATGCAACCCATATACTTGACTGTCTTTAGAATTCTTTTTTCTGCAGACTACCTTTGTGATTATGATATGGAACATTATTTCTCTTAGATGCACTATAGCCATACAGTTTCCATAGAGACATTCTGCTATTCATCTCTAAATGACACATGGACAGGCATTTTTGTTAAAATTATTGATAAATGGTGCATTCCTAGCTTTACTGAATCCATACAACTGACAACTTATTCTCCAGAGAAACAAAGTAAGCCCCTATTATGGATAATGCCAATTTGATTTGCAAAATATGAATCATTACTTTAGGAGGCTCGTGCTATGTTTGTAAGGAGATCAATTTGGGCTGCCATCTGGAAACTGTACTTCAAGAGTACAGAGAGAAATGTTTGCTTCGTGACTAAACATGCTGACTAATAGTCTGTGCTTCAACTGGTCCAGATCAAATCCTTACAGGGAAATCTGCAAAGACCTCTTCTTGACATCATGTAAAAGATTTTTTTCCTACTTGATTTTGTTTGCCAAACAACAAAGGGGCTTCCAGACCAACAGCTGGTAATTTTTGTGCTTAAGAAAAATAAAAACCTGGATGCCCTGACCAGGCTTGGTGGTTTCTTTGCCTTGCTGCACACCACAGGGCCAGCAGCTGTTGCAGGGCCTCAAAATGCCCCAAAATGCTTGTCCCCCTTTGCAGCTGCCTGCAGCCCCCAGCCTCGTGACAGCCTCCAGCAGCCAGGGAGACCTCAGGAGCGAGAGGAGCTGCAAGGAGGCCATGCTGTCCCCTCTGTGAGCAGCCCCATCCTGGAACCACGTCTGTGTTCCTGGGCAAGTGCTGCCAAAACTCTGGTGCCTTCTCTGGAACACAAGTCCTGTGAGGAGCAGCTGAGGGAGCTGGGGGTGCTTAGCCTGGAGGAGGCTCAGTGGAGACCTTACTGCTCTCTACAACCACCTGAATGGATGTTGTAGCCTCGTGGGGGTTGGCCTCTTCTCCAAGGAAACCAGCAACAGGGTACGTGGGCATAGCCTCAAACTCAGCTGGGGGAGGTTCAGGCTGGACATCAGGAAGAATTTCTTCACAGAAAATATTGCAATATGGTGCCTAGGGAGGTGGTGGAGTCACCGTCCCTGGAGGTCTTTATGACTGGATATAACACACAGCAGGTGACTAAACACTGGAATGAACACAGGGAGGTGGTGGAGTCACTCTTCTTAGAGGCGCTGAAGACGGGATGTGGCACTTTGCGCAGCCCACGGTCTAGCTGGGACGGTGGTCTTCGGTCACAGGTTGGATTTGATGATCTCCAGAGGTCTTTTCCAACCTGACTGATTCTGTGATCCTTTATTAGTTACAGTCACAGCACTACCGGCCTGTGGAGTCCACAGCTGCACTTGCACTAGGCAGGGAACTGTCGCATCCGCACGCTTACGGCGGGGAGGACCAAAGGCGCGTTTATCACGACATGAGTGCATTAATTTAAGTTTTCTCTTAGCGATTCTTCCCCGCCAGAAGGGAAGCCACCATGGCGGCGAGACAAAAGCAGTGGAAACCTGTCCCCCGCT